GTATCCATTTCAGCAACTCCGCCTTGCCACAATTGACGCCGTCGGTCCAAGTGTCGCCCCATCAGCCACGATTGTCGCTGGAACTAAACTTTGTTTTTTTATCTCATGTAATATTCTCTTCTCCGTAAGAAAGGAGGGTAATGGAGATAAAAAAAAATCTCTGCATTCATGGAAAAAATGCAGTTTCTTATCTTTCAGTTCATCGATTTCAGGCATTGAGGCAGTGGCTTTGGCTTCTCCTCCAGGCTTACAATCTCTTCAACCTATTCAGGTAGGATTGTTGTTCATACATTGTTCTATTTTATATATTTTAAATATCCCTTAAAATCCCCGATATTGTAAATATTCGTTACTTTTCATGGAAACTTAGAAGATGAACTAGATTTATGAAGGCATGAGAAAAGAGTGTTTGTATATAGGAACCTTTGAAGCATGCTATATTTAGAGATATGTAAGGAAAATTAATGATATTTTATTCAATGATCTGTGCAAGAATCGGTTCAAGAAAAATATCAGAAAATCTGGTGGAATTGATTTGTCTCTTGTTAATTTTAAAACTTATATAATATAAAGATGTGAGGAAAATAATGATTAACAAGATTAAGAGAAATGAAAAGAATCTAGAACCAAATGTAAGAAAAAAAATCTATCGATTAGATTATATATAATCTCATTATTGTAATTAAAATGGAGACATGAATCTGGATGTAAAAATTCATTCATCACAATGAGTTATTGAATGAGATTAAAATATAGTCTAATACAAAGACAGTGAAAATATAAACTGTTTGATATTGATATTCATTGTATATGTTAATTTTCATTGGTTCTTTTCAAGTAATATGAGGAATTTTTGACTGGATATTGGTGGTTGCAACTTAATTCAAATCAACTATATCATCATGTTATAGAATGGTTGTTGTAACGATATTTGCTGTGATTGTTATATCGGTAACACCATAAGCCTTTTTTAAGAAATTGGATTATGGAATAATGAACCGTTTTTGTTGTTGTTTTTGGTCTTATTGTTCTCGTGTGAATGATTACTCTCTCTGTTTTATAGGTTCAGGTTATTGTATAAATCGATTGAATTCGGATGAATGGTAATCAGATGTAAATGATTTTCCAGGTTTTTGTGAATGATCATTTCTTGAACTGGGATCCACAGAACAAAATTAAAGTCCAGATTGTCTCAGCTATAGCTTATCATTCACTGTTTATGCACAACATGCAAGTAAAAGCTAAGCAATCTACAAATGTCCTTTATATTCCGGTCTTGTTTGTGTTTTCGTAGGTACCTGTTCATATGTAGCTTGCATTAAGGTATGTAGCTTAATGAATGTTATCGTGTTTAGCAATGCCCAATATAAAGAATTTGTACTTCTTTCACATATATTATTATGTTTGTTTAGACTAAGACCGACCTTGACAACCTTTGAAATCACTCTTAAGTTTTCTTTTTGGAGAGATATATTTTTAGATATAAAGCTTTAGAAAAATTAACGTCAAATTATGTTTTTCATTCCTCCATCTGGCTTCGAGTATTCAATTGAATTATAAAGAGTGTTCTTCCATTGTTTCACACATTATTTTATCTAGGAACAACTTGGATTTCAGCTTACAATGAGTTTTAACTGGGTTATAGGATTTATAGGAAACATTTCTGAAGTCACCAGATAATTCGCATTTCTAAAGTTTGTATTCTTTAAAATTTATAGGAAACAATTCTGCACTGGTATTAAAGTGCCAGCAGCCCTCAATAATCATATTTAAGTCAATAACCACTTCACACTCACCATGTCATTCTGGTATGATCAGTAGGTAAAACCAAAAATGTAAGTTATTATGTTATCGTGTACACCCATAGCCAACAACCTGAATTTAATTAGAATAATGAGCATTTGTCTAAATTGTAGATAATATATAATAACATCCTCCCCAATGAATAAATAAAATTTAATCCTAAAAAATAGATTATTCTCTTATGTCATTCTATCATGATCACCATTCACCATTTATAAAAATACTTTTTTTCTCAGAAGATTAGTTGTATTGTGCGATTAAGGCTGCCTTCCCAATATTACGCAGATATGAGCGATAATACAAACACAATAATCTTACTATCAATCATTCAATAAATACAAACTTAAGAAATTATATCTAAACACTAAAAAACCTTCATATCTAAATATCTAAAAAAATATAAGATTTAAAATATTCATTAAAATTCTTAAACTCTATATTATTAAGATATATAAGATTCTAAATATTTAAATATAATCTTTGAAATGTATATTTATTAAATTATTAAACACAAAGTTAATACAAGTATATTTCATCACTATTATATGTATAGGTTTTCTTTCTAGACAATTTATATAATTTTTTCCATATTTTGAAAAATTTTCTTTCTTTTATTTCAATCCAACTCTAAAATTTCTGATCAACTTCTATCATATCAACGGAAGACACGTTCTAAAAGAAATACCCTCTGAAAAATATTTCCTACAAAAACATATTTGTCTTACGTGACACAAGAATGTCAAATTAATAATTAAAAAATAAAGAGTGACAGTTGTATTAAAAAAACCCAATTATCACTACAACAAATTTGTTTATTTTTGACATTGAAAATATTGTCATTAAAACTTACATTTATGTCACTATTTGTATTATGTGACATAAAATCCGATGTCACGGCAATCGTTACCCTAGGTGTGTCACTGAATGTCTAACGTGACGTCGTATGTTTTTATCGTCATATATTGTTAAACATATAGTGACGTTTATGTATAATGTCACTTTATTATTTATATAAAATGACGTTTTGTTATGTCACTAAATAAAATAAAATTTTGTCACCAATCATTTATATTGCCACTAATAATAATAAAATTTTACTATATAAATGACAATAAAATATCGTCACAATTTTTTTATTTAAAATTTAAAATTATAAAATTACCATAAAAGTATAAATATTTATATAAATTACAATAAAAGTCTATTTTTTAAATATCACAATCAAGACTAAACTTTTATAAATTATAATAAATACCAATTTTTTTTGTAAATTATAATAAATATCAAAACTTAATGTAAATTACAATAAATACCAAAATTTTCTAAAAATTACAATAAACACCAAAACTTTTTATATATTACAATCAAAGGAAAAACTTCACATAAATTACAGTAATGGCCTATACTTATTATAAAGAGAAAATAACCTCAGTGACCAAAAATGTCTTATAATATACGATTTTAACCAACTTTTTTTGGATTTGCCAAAATGACTAACTAAATCGCAATGCGATCGATAATTCGCAACGCGATCTCCGGTATCGCAAACCAGTTTCCAGATTCGTAACGCGAACTTCGACTATCGCATTGCGATTTACATATTCGCATTGCGAATTGCATTGCGATAGTCCAAGTTCGCGTTGCGATAGTCGAAGTTCACGTTGCGATTTATTACAAATTTGTTGCGATAGTCCAAGTTCGTTGCGATAGTCGAAGTTCGCGTTGCGATTTATTCCAAATTTGTTGCGATAGTCCAAAATCGCAACGACTGGTGGTATTGCATTTGTTTCTTAAAAATTTTCTCTAAAAAGATTGTATTCGCGCGGACGTGTCGAAGACACGTATTACCACGACCACGACCACGACCACGAGACGAGACGGACGGCGGCGGCGGCGACGCGCGAGAGTCCCCCTTGTTCTCTATCACTCAACAAGGAAGTGGAAAAGCCAAGCCTTAAATACCATTCCCAATAGTGTTTCCAATACTATGTGAGATTGAGCATTACCAACACTTGTTTCCAATACTATGTGATTATTCAGGAAACAATTAACAATCATGCACCTTAAAACAACTGAATCAGCAACCAATTGCATTAGTATTATACGATTAAATATGTCATAATTAAAAGTCAATCTACAATCAATCGCGATTATTACAATTTTAAGCAAAACATTCAAAAAAAATTGCATCACTCGCGAGAATAAAAAAAAATTGTTATCGTGCAATTACAATCAATTGAAAATAAATTATAATTTCATGAAAACTAAACGAACTACAAATACTTTTCATACAAATACTAAAGTCATTAACTATAATTCACAAATAATATCACTATTTAAGGCTCAATCCCACATAGTATTGAGAACAAGTGTTGGTAATGCTCAATCCCACATAGTATTGGAAACACTATTGGGAATTGTATTTAAGGCTTGGCTTTCCCACTTCCTTGTTCAGTGATAGAGAACAAGGGGGACTCTCGCACGCCGCCACCGCCGCCGTCCGTCTCGTCTCGGGTCGTGTTCGTGGTAATACGTGTCATCGACACGTCCGTGCGAATACTATATTTTTAGAGAAAATTCTTAAGAAACAAATGCAATACCACCAGTCGTTGCGATTTTGGACTATCGCAACGAGTTTGGAATAAATCGCAACGCGAACTTCGACTATCGCAACGAACATGGAATAAATTGCAACGCGAACTTCAACTATCGCAACGAACTTGGAATAAATCGCAACGCGAACTTCGACTATCACAACGCGAACTTGGACTATCGCAACGAATTTGGAATAAATCGCAACGCGAACTTCGACTATCGCAACGAACTTGGACTATCACAACGCGAACTTCGACTATCGCAACGAACTTGGAATAAATCGCAACGCGAACTTGGACTATCGCAACGAATTTGAAAAATCACATTGCAATAATCGAAGTTCGTGTTGCGATAGTCGATGTTCGCGTTGCGAATATGAAAACTGATTTGCGATACCAGAGATCGCGTTGCGAATTATCGATCGCATTGCGATTTAATTGGTCATTTTGGCAAATCCAAAAAAAGTTGGTTAAAATCGTATATTATAAGATATTTTTGGTCACTGAGGTTATTTTCTCTATTATAAATTACATTAAAAAGTCTATGTTTTACAAATTAAAATAATACCCCATATATTTTTACAAATTAAAATAAAAAGTATCCAAATTTGCCTATGAATGGCTTCGCAACTCTTGCATGAGTTACATCTCCTCTCACACCTTGGCAGCCTTGAACCTATATACGATCTCAATCTTGCCTTCTCTTCATTCACTGTCTATCCAAAGTAAAAAGGGAGAATATTCTCAAAATCCATTGTATTTAATTATAGTACTCAGAGAAAGAAATATGTGTATTTCAAGTTAACTAAAATGAGAAGAGGCTTACCTGGGAAAAGCTATCAGATTTTGGATTTGATCCATCTGTAAAAACAAGGTAGGAAACAAGAAATATACTTCAAAACCAGAACTTAAAAACAGAGAAATACAATGTAAATACAAATAACAAAACAACAAAACTAAACAGAGAAATACAAAGTAAATATATATACATAGACAAATCTGGATATTGAAAACATGATAAATTGAAAACAAGGTAGGAAGATTCTGGTGAGAAAACTAGAAAGCCTGTCACCTCAATTGTATCAGCATACAGGTTACTCAAACTATCTGTGAAGGTGCAACTATTTGTTTATTTTATGCTTAAATATGCAATTGAAATATTGCTTGCTGAAGGAAGTGTCATCACTGCGTATTAATTTATATGGTCAACCAATAGCGTGGCCATCTTTCTTGCATGTCTTGGGCTAACAGTGCTTCCAGTAAACATAATTGTCGGAACCTACGTCAGCAAAATGTTCGAAGAAAAGTAAGTTCAAATATGAAAATAAGCATATTAACGGTCCCATTGAGCTCATGTGGACATGATGGTAAAAAATAAGCTCCGAGTTTACCACAAATGGATGGTATACATGCTATTTAAATTTATTGCAGGCAAGTTCTGTTGGCTTCTGAAATCATGGTTTTGGTTGGCATTCTCCTAAGCTTCCATATTGGAATTCCTTACTCTGTGCCTCAGTATGTTGGCTCTGCACTCATCACTTTTGTATCTGCGGAAGTGCTTGAAGGTGTTAACTTGTCGCTCTTGTCGCGTGTAATGTCGTCTAGGCTTTCTCGTGGAACTTACAATGGAGGGCTTCTTTCAACAGAAGCAGGAACCCTAGCTTGAGTGATTGCAGATGGAACTATAACAGTCTCTGGCTACTTGGGTGTGTCTAGGCTCTTGAATGTTACCTTAGTTCCTTCATTATTCATCTGTATCTCCTCCATTGTTGCCACCTGCGTTACTTACAATTCTCTTTACTAACACTTTTTGTATGTAAATTTCTATTGCCAATTATAGCACAAGAAGACATTTAAAAAAAACAAGATATATCCAGACATCAAATCTGCTAGACTGAAAACATACCCACACTAACCCATAGTACTAATTGTTCGTAAACATAAAGCACCAGACAACCACAATTAAAGAGTCGGGCACCTTTATTGGCACTATTAACAAAATATCAGTAAGCCATCAAAAAGATAGAAAAATAATTTCAGCAAAAGACATTATAATAGCATGAAGCTCTATTCAAAGTACACTACAATCGTCAACAAAGAAACAACCAGAACAAACATAGGCATATGAATAAAGGACAAATCAATGGCGTGCCCTGAGTAATAATTTTTCTTTCGGCAGATAAAATTCAACCATACCATTCAAAGAAAAGCCTAAGATCTTTCGGGCTAGCATCGATAGGGAGATTGCGAATGAGAAAATAAAAAAGAAGAGGGAATCAGTGACGATGGGTCGGTGGTGATCACGAGGTTCATTGACGTACCTCTTTCTTGCACGTGTTTGAATCTGGCTACGACGATGAGGACTATAGCTTCTTCTCTGACTGCCCCCCAATCCCTTGAACAGAAGATAACAAAATGTGAGAAAAAGAGCGAAAACACTATTCTTTATCTTCAGGAATAATAGGTAGGGTTAACTGCAAGGTAGGCCATCAAATTCTTTAGGGTTAACTTTTCATAATTTTCATTTTCAACCACTAGATTTAAGTTTTTATAATTCAGTCCATAAATTTTATGTTTCTCACATTTAACTCCAAGTATTATAAGCACACTTAACTCCCAAATTATCATGATTGTACTTCTAACGCCAATTTTGATGGAATTATTATTATTATTATTATTATTATTATTATTATTATTATTATTATTATTATTATTATCATCATCTCAAGCGACACCATTTTTTTTTCAGCCCAATTAAGGTTTCTTACAAATTTTAAAATTAATTTAAAAATATTAAATATTATTAAAATTATAAAAATATGAAATTTTTGATTTTTTATAAAATTATATAAAAATTTAAAAAATAAAAATATCTAAAAATTATAGTCAAGGTTTTCGAACGGGAGATCTACAGCACTATGTTTAGTGCTTATTCACTAAGAGAACCTTCGTCACTATAAGGTAATAATTCTCACAAGAAGGATTTATTATATCGTAACAAAACAATTCATCTCATAAGAGTAATTTTTCATAAAGTTTTAATATTTTTATATTTTTAATAATTTATATTTAAAAAATATTTTTAGTCACACTTAAGACCCCAAATTATAATATAAATTGTAATCATATAAATTGATTGAAAAAATATTTATAACATATCATAGTAACTCAGACTCCAACTATATTTCTCTTAAGAAATTTTAGAGTTTTTTTTTAGATTTTTTAATAATTTTTAAAATTTTATATTTTCTACGTATTTTAATTTTTAAATAATTTTTAATATTTTAAAATAATATTGTAAGATTTTATAATTTTTAAAGTAATTATGTATATTTAATATTAAACAAATATTTTTTATTATTTTAAAAGTATTTTTAATTTTTGAATAAATTTCGGAGTTTTAAAAAATAAATTAATATTTAATATAATTATTAAATATTTTTTTTTTAAAAATATACTTTTTAGTTTTTTAATATTTATTATAATTTTAATAATATTTAGTTTTTTTTAAAATATTTTAAAAATTTATATAAAAATAAATATTTTTTTTACATTTTTACATTTTAAAATATTATTTAAAATATTTCCATAATTTTGTATTTTTAAAAAATTTAAATTAAATTTTTAAAAAATCTAGAAATTCATCCCTAAAGTTTGACATGTAATTCCCTTTGACGATGCCACATCACAAATAACCTAAAAAGGTTAATAAATTTATAGTTTGATGGCTTAATTGGTTTAATTTCTTAATGCAAAGGCTTACTTGGGTGCAAAAAAAATTTAAGTATTGAAATAATTTTATTTTACATTGTTAGGGTTTTTTTGACCCTTCAAATATATATATAAATAAAAAATTCTTATATATATATAAAATATTTTTAGAGAACACAACTTTGAGAAAATTAATAGGAACGATTGAAATTATAAGTCTAAAATCTAAGATTATTTTAAATTTTTTCACCAATAAAATTTTGAATTAGTGACAAATCCAATATGTCTCTAAAAAAATTCTAGGCTATTTTTTTATGTTAATTATTGGCACTAAATATTAATTGACACAACCGTATGATGTATTTCCATATCGTCAAAAAACAAGAGATATAACAATGAGGATCAAATAATTACTTTTGTCATATTAAGCTTATTTTGTGAGACGAATAAAGCGTCATTTTTTATTTCATATAAACTATGACGAATCAAATTGTCACAAATAAAATTTATTAGTGACAATTTGGAATGCTACTAATTCAAATCGAATCGTCATTATAATAAATCGTCATTAATACTTTCATTTCATTGGAGACGATTTTACAACGTCACAATTTTATCTAAACGTCATTGACAGGTTTCCCACCAAATTTTTTGGAGGGAAATTTTGGCGTCAAACATATAGTGACGAAAATCAATGATCATTTTTACAATTGTCATAAAAGATATACCATTAATTACTAAATGTGACGAAAATAAAAAAAACGTCACTTTTATAGTATATTTTGCGACGTTATACGCAACGTCATATAGAAATTATTTCATAAATTGTTAAATTTGTTGTAGTGTATGATAGATATACCCCCGAGCCCTTAGATAAATGAAAGGGTGAAAATGAGGACGGTGAAATGAGGAAACATGTTGCAAATTGCAGGTGGCAATGACAATTATGTTGAAAAAACAAGTACCCCATCATTATTACTGGATCAAAGTTAAAAGGGTTTCTTGGTTGCCATGGCTGGCAGGCTCCATGTGCAATCTGCAGAATCAACAAACCTACCCCCTCCCCACCGTTTTAATTATCGAATGCCATGACAGTTAATTATGACCACAAACACTAAATGAAATTACATTTCAAAACCAAATGCAAAATTTGATAATCACATATTGCTTCATGCCTTAATACCGAGTGCTAACATGTGACGCTTCAAAATCCGCCAATTACAGGACGGAAAAGTCTTAATTACCAGTTGGCATCGCTCTCTTCATTTCAACATTTCTTTCCCTCGTACAATGTCAAATCCGCATTTATAATCAAAATGCCGGTCCCTCATCTTTAAAACTGTAACACACTAAGCAAGGTTTCAAGCCCTTGGGTTCCAATATCTGGAGATTCAAATCACCTTCCTGATTAAAAAAATGCAGACCAAAAAGATATATATATATGGTATGCATCGAAAATACATGTTAACACGAACATATGTGATGTAAAATGCTAACATAGCATTAAGTTTTTCCCCATGGATAATGGTGCAAACTAAAGTTTTTCCACCTAAAATAGATGCAATATGTTGCTCCTATTATCCATTGTTACATTTCTTTTGTGAGTCTTTCTTGAGGTATTTTTTTATTAATAAAGTTGTGGAACTTGAAGTTTTACAGCAGTTTGCCTGAGTTAATAGCTCACTACATCCTGAATTCCTTATGGAAAATTTTGATCCTCTTAAACCTTCATCACTGAATCTTGCTTTCATTTCGAAAAGCCTGACTAAAAATATATACTTCAGGTAACAGTTTCTTACTTGCTTAGTCGTGTTGCAATTCTTATTGCTGGTTGTTTGTATATATCTTTGCACATGTGACCAAGGGAGGTGTTAGAATGTTTTGATTGTGGGGTCAATTTGTTAATGTTAGTCATGTACTGATGTTAGATAATCATTTGTGTTTGTGAATTCAGGATTTTTAAAGCTCCAAATCAGTGAATATTACATTTGTGGACCCTTTGTTTGCACTTGTCTACTGTTTTTTTTTCTTGAAAGGTTGATTCTCAGAGAGTTTTAGTGAACATTACCCAGGTAACAACTACATTTGAATTTAAAACTCCAGAAATATGAAATGGATAAGAGTTGGATGGATTTCTCAAGGGTAAGCGTCGAATATCGAAATGGAGTCGAAAAATTTCTAAATTTAGCTTTTTTGAATGCAAGCCAAGAGAATATGATTCTTTGCCCTTGTAAGAACTGTGTTAACATTAACTGGCACATTCGTGAAGTTGTGTACGAGCATCTAGTTATTTTTGGATTTGTTCGGGGTATAGAAAATTGATCTTTCATGGAGAGTTTGTATCAGATAGATATGCTTCCACGAGTTATTAGACTTATCCCGCTCCTTCTCACCATCCAACTTTTAGAGAATATGACATGGAAGGGATGTTACGAGATTCATTTAATATGCACACTCATCAGCCGTATGTTACAGAAAATTATTGTCAAAATGATGTTAATGATTTCATTGAGATGGGAAGAATTAGAAGTGTTGAAGAGCCAAATGGAGAAGCGGCAAAGTTTTACAAGTTGCTGAATGAAATGAATGAACAACTTTATGAGGGATCAAAGTTTTCAAAGCTTTCTTTCTGCATTCGTCTTTTCCACTTAAAATGCCTGGGAGGGTGGACTGGTAACTCCTTTACGCAATTGTTGGAGTTACTATGAGAAGTGTATCCTTTTGCAAAAATCCCTCAATCATGCAAAGATATGAAGAAAATGATAAAAGATTTGGGTCTTGGATATGACAAAATTCATAGTTGTCCGAATGATTGTATGTTGTATTGGGGTGATCGAAAAAATCAGGACTCTTGCCATGTATGTGGAAAATCTCGATGGATGATTAGGGAGGCAGAAAATGTTACTGAGGATGAAGCTCAAGCACGATCAAGAAAGAAACCGATTAAGATTCTGCGATATTTTCCTCTCATACCTAGGCTACAAAGATTGTTTATGTCATCCAAGACTGCTAAGTCTATGAGGTGGCATCATGATGGCAGAACCGATGATGGATTATTATAGCATCCAACGGATTCTTTAGCTTGGAAGTCATTTGACAACAAGTATCCAAGTTTTGCGAGAGATCCTCGAAATGTCAGGCTCGGTCTTGCAACTGATGGGTTTAATCCATTCAAAATCATGAGTACTTCGTATAGTACTTGGCCTGTTGTACTTGTTCTATACAATTTTCCTCTCTGGATTTGCATGAAACAATCATCTTTCATCTTATCCATGATAATCCCCAGTGAGAAAGGCCCCGGAAATGATTTTGATATTTACTTGTAGCCACTAATTGTAGAGTTGAAATAGTTATGGGAAGGGGTCGAAACGTACGATGTGTTGACGAAGGAGAACTTTAATTTACGCGCGACTTTATTATGGACAATTAATGATTTTACCGCGTATGTAAATTTATCGGGTTGGAGTACCAAAGGTCGTTACGCTTGTCCTTGTTGTGTTGTAGAAACATGTTCGAAGTGGTTGGTTAATGGAAAGAAGTTCTCTTATATGGGACATCGTCGGTGGTTACCTGATAATCATAGATTTAGAAGTCAAAAGAATATGTTTGATGGTGATGAAGAGTTTCGAAATGATCCTGACCAAACAACCCGCTTTCAAATATTCAGAATGTTGAAAAATATCAATTTTACTTATGGAATGATGAATCAACCAAGTAGTG